GTCATAAATCAATACAGTTAGTAATTATGTTGATGGGAACATCCAGTGGGAAGGCTATAGCCAGGTGGGCAAATGTCATCTATAGGTTTAGATATATAGCATTCTTAGCTTTAGGGTTGGTAGAGGCTCAAGGTCTGCTAAGCTTACTGATACATTCTCAGAGATTTATCTAGTAGTCATGAGTTGTTAGGTCAGACACAGCGGTTGCTAATAAATGACTAATAAAAGGAACTAAAGAAGACCCAAGATAATTTTTGCTCTCAATTTGCAACATTTGATCTCTTCACAATCAACATGTTCCAGTCAGCCAAGGTCAAATGGTCTGTAAGCTTCTGATATAGATGTGGCTTCTTCAGAGAGCTTAGGTTCATAACTGCCAAGATTAATACAACTACAAAGTAGTAGAGTTGGTCTTTGACTCCAAAGGCCACACCCAAACTTTCATGCCATAAGTCTCTCCAGTCATCCTCTAAATATGTATGAAGAACCTACTATGCACCAGGTACTGTTCCATGCTCATGAGATTCAGCGGGGACCAAAAACAAACAAAAAATTCCTGGTCTCATGAAACTTACTTTTAGTGAAGTCTGAGAAGCCACAAAAGTGTACCATCCAGTGTCAAGACTCCACCAACTCGACTGGTGTGATGGACATTAGTTGCTTGTTTGATTGCCAGGCATCTGTTATAGCAAGCCTGCTATCATTGGGAAATTATTCACCCTATTTGATAGATTCTGCGAAGACTGTTACTGAATGTGGCCAGCTCTCCCCTAGCCAAGCAAGGCCAAATAATCCTACCCTGGGACTTGAATCTTCAGAAAAATAGCAAAAAGATTGAAAATGGCTGGAGTTCATTCATTGTAGTGATGGTTCTGAGATGGGACCATTGAGAAGTTCCTGTTATCCAGACTCCAACCTCGGTTCTCATTCCTACCCAGTGTGAGCATTGTTCTGTAAACTTGTTCACTCTGTGAACCATCTGATATCTCTCTAGTAAAGTTCTGTGTTGAGCGAGACTGTTTTTGATACTTGTGATGAAAGAACTCTAACTCCAGATCTGGAGTTTAGAAGACAATCTCTGGATCTAGGGGCAAGAATAGTGAGAATATACTAGATAGTAATAGTGTCTCCAAAAAACTTCATTATTAAAAATTTGAGGGGCATAAGACTGGGCCAATGGACACATCCCCTACTTTTCTACTATAATTTTGGACCTTAGTTTTATACTAGTTGTCTGTACATCACAATATCTTTCCCTGAGGGATACAGGAAGCAATCTGTGTATACCCATTTGGTATGATGAATGACAAGGAGTATGCACATGTGTAAAAGTGGCAAAACAGGATTTATACCTACCTTTATGCTTCACCTAGCTAGTTTTGCTTATGTTTACCCAGCATCACAGAGGGACCAACAGGCACACAGCATTCCAGGGATTTTTTTTAAAGTTTTCTTTTGACTTTTCTGGTAGAAAAGTAGCTCAGCTCAGGATCATGGCACATGAAAAATCAGATTTCCAAGTTTTGGAGGGGATCAAAAGTGAATCATTAGATCACTCATTCATAGATGATGAGGATGATCCATTATGGTAAAGTACATGTTTTGATAAGAAGGGAGAGGTGTGGGTATATGGTGATGATGACAATAATGATGATGATAATGACTTTGGCATGGCCATGTGAGCCAAAGTTCCTGTGACAGCGAAATGCAGCAAGAATCAACTGGCACAAACACGGGGAATGCAGACCTCCTTGCTTCAGATGAAGAAAACAACAACATGAGCACATATTTGACTCGTCAAAATGTTGTGAAATGGCCACACAACCAAATGGAACAATTCAGTGTTAGAACCAGGTCTGAAAACACAGTGAGGGTCTTGGCAGGGGTGAAACGTATTGGAAAGAATGTCAGCACTGCCATTCAGTGTCGGAAATTGTAACAAATGAAATGCTACAAGATGCTGTGAAGTACCCAAAGGCTGAAATACAGGTAAAAAGTTCAGTATGCACCAATAGCCACATTCAAAGATGTATTTATTATGACACCTCTCTAGCTGAACTGAAAGCATTCATAGGTCTGCTGTACTTAGCAAGGATTTCTCATGGTAATCGCAGGTCTGTAAGAGACTTATGGAAAAGTGATGGGTCAAAATATGGCATAAAAATTTATGCCCTTGTAGATGCAAAGACTTGTTATGCTTTCAATTTAGACATTTATCCTAGAACTCAGCCATCAGGTCCTTATTCATATGGTAATAAACTGAATGATGTGAATAGACTTGTTGCCCCCATCTCCCATACTAATTGGAATGTGACATTGGACAACTGGTTTACCGGTTTCCAGTTGATGTTACATTTGCTGACAGAGCACAAGTTGACCAGCACAGGAACTGTACAAAGGAAGAAAGCAGAAATTCCAGATGAAATGTGGCAATTTCAAAAGAGAGAATTGTATAGTACAATCTTTGGATTACAGAAAGCTTTACATTGGTCTCATATATGGCAAAGAAAAACAAACTGGTACTGCTGATGTCAATGTTGCAGCATGATGCAAACATTGATAAGGAAACCTTGACAAAACAGAAGCCTGAGAGGGAAACTTTCTACAGCACAGTAGATAGCGTCGAGGTTGTTGATGAATTATGCAGCAACTATGATGTCACTCAAAACCCAAAGCATTGGCCAATAGTTGTGTTTTACTCAATCCTAAACATGTGTGGTGATATAAATATTATGACAGTTTATAAAGAAAATATTAAGTGCAAAATACCATGGAGAAATTTTCTTATGAGATTAACAGTAGTACTCGTAGGAGATCATTTACAGCAGGGAAATCCAAAATGTTTCTGCCCAAGGAACTATGCAAAAATCACAGTGTACACTGGTGAGCTGACAGGAGATCAGGCAGGCACAGCATCTCAAAGACCTACTACAACAACAGGAAAACAAAAAAGATGTCAACTGTGCCTACAAAAAGGACAGGGAAACAAAACGTACATGCTATCAATGTAAGTGATGATTGGTATAGAACATGGAATTTTCATGTTTGAAGACTGCTTTGGTTATGACAGTTGAAGCAAAGATTATTTTTGTTGTAGAGTTGTATCAGTATTTTCATTGTAGTTCACATAGGTTTTTATTTTTGATGTTAGTTTTTAGGTTTGTAAGCAAGTAAATAACTGATATGAAAATGTCAATGCACTTATTGTTATTATTATTCTAAGCACTTATTACATATTTGATTTGATTTGATTTGATTTGATTGACATCTTACTTCCCTGCTAAGTGCATGTTGTACAATATAGTAACAAGCTCCTGACAAAGCAGCAAGAGAAGAGAGGTGACAAGACTGTCACATAGGAAAGGAAAGCCAAGCACACGTGCTGTCAGTGTAAGTAAAACACGTGTGTGGAATGTGCTGTTGACATGTACACAGACTCTTAGGTGTGATAATTGAAATAAAGATTATTTGTTTTAAAAGTGTTATTGGTATTTTCATTGAGTTCATATAAGAATTTATTCCTGTTGTTCTTTTTCAGACTTAATGCACCAAAAAACAATAGATATTGAAAATTTTGATGCCTTTTATAAACTTGATAAACATTAAAAACTCAATACTTTCATTTTTGTGATTTTTTCCTGTTAAGTACTCATTGTGTAATATAATAAAATTCATAAACTTAATAATTTATCAATAGAAATATTCTAAAGAATAAACATGGTTCTGTACCTTGGTGACAAAATTAGTCTTATGTCCCAATTAACTTCATTTTCAGTTTTTAAATTTGCACAACCCATAGTTCTTTAAAGTTTTAAACAAGAACAGTTTCAACCCTCCTTTTCCTTTTCCACATAAAAGTACTGAAGCCAACACTAAAAACAGTGACTGAGATAACAGTCACTGTGACAACAAAAAGGCAACACAGGAAAAAAGAACCAGGACAACCAGTGACACTGACAGCGGAGACTGAGACATAATAGCACCAGTTAATAAAACTAGAGAGAAACAAGGCCACACAGAAGCTCACCCATCAGCACTGAGACTGAGCTCAGACGAGGCCAGCAGGGCATATTTAAGACAAGGCAGATTCCAAGGACTTCTTGAATGAAAATCTGTGTGGCTGGGGTCAGGAATTGTAACATTTGTCCACTTCCCAATGATTTTGAGGCTCACTAAAGTTGCATAACCATTCTGTTCATTGCTGGGCAGGAGCCCAGCAAAGGATGTTTGTGTAAGTGTAACAAGCAGTCATCTGAGCTGACTGAAATGCAGACAGATTTAGAAGGCATTGGGTGGAGCTTGAGGTTCTGCATTTCTAACCAGTTCCCAAATGGAGACTAGATAGGTCACAAAATCTGGGCGAGACTAAGCTGGAGGCAGAAGGCAAGAACCCACGAGTGAAGCTGTGAAGTTGACAGAACCTGATACTCATTCTTGGCAAACTGACAGGATGAAATCTCAGAGCCTGCAAAACCAACCCCTAAGCTTGTTAACCACCACAATGTCACCATCCATCTGACTTAACGTGCAAAGCCTCTAAGGCAGCTCTGAGACGCAATCCATTCATTAAGTCCTCAAACAGTTCCTCCACCTGACGCAGTTGCTCTGATTCCTTGCTCAGCAACATAAGATGAAACAAAACCTAAAGGTGATTCTTAAGTTCAACCTAATGTAATAGGGAGCTTTGCTATTAATCAGAGCACAAAGTATTCTTCGTAGGTCCTTGAGGCTGTGTAGATAATAGCTCCATGCCTAATAAAATTGCATCCCATAGTGAAAATAAAAGTGACTAGGAAGTTGACATAGGGGTTGGGAGGATCACTGAGTGGTACACCACTTACCTAGCACACAGGAGGCCCTGAGTTCAAGCCCATCACTGCCAAAAAAAAAAAAAAAAAAAAAAAAAAAGCTAACATAGGCAGTTTCCAAATGATGTGTATAACAAAATCAAATTATTCTGCAGAGCTTGTGAATATTTAATTACTAGCTATAGCCCTTCCCTTTCTATTCATTGATGTGTTTGATGGTAATTACTGCTCAGGTACTGTGCTAAGCACTGGCATATATACAGACAGTGGATGGCCCTGGGGGCCTGGCCAAGACACTTGGAAATTGAGTCTGGCAAATAGTTGAAAGGAAATTATAGAATCCACTCCACTGCTGGACTTCTTTATTAAGGGAAGACTAAGGGCAAAGCTAAGAACAAAGGCAGAGTTTCGAATGGTAGGGAATAAACACCAGGTGGTCTGAGCTGCAATCGAAATGTGAGTTACACAAAAATGGATTTGGTCTTTTGAAGAGTCATTTCCATGCAGGATTTCAATGTATGCTGCTCCGCATAAAGCAGGTATTGAATAGCCACTATACTGGCCATTTGCTAAGGCAGATCTTTATTGAGTTGATGTTTATAAGCATCGGCAGCATTTGAAGGGTTAAGGAGAAGAACCTGGGAGAGGCTCTTGTGTTTTATCTCCACACACAGAGAAATGTCGCCAACCAAAAATATGGGAAACTCTTTTTTTAAAAATTTTATTTTACTTTAAAGAGAGTAGTAAATGAGAAACAAACAAACAAACAAAAATAAATAGAACAGTAGCAGCATAGCAGCATCATGAACATAAATCAGAGCAAGGACATTCAAAGTGATACAGGGTCTTACGACAAACTAATACAAATCAACAGTGGTTGTTCCATTACATATCGCATTCCAGAACTACATTGCTCAGATTATCAGATGTAGGAATGAAAGATTGCTCAAAACATTAAAGAGAATAAGAAAATAATT